CCATCGCTCTTAGGTTGGAGGCCATCGCTCTTAGGTTGGAGGCCATCGCTCTTAGGTTGGAAGCCATCGCTCTGAGGTTGGGGGCCATCGCTATTTCGGGGAATCACCATTTGGAACCGCTTCCTGCAGGCTATATATAGATGTCTCGCCTGCACCCTCGGCTCGTCAGGCTCGCTCGTCAGACTCTAGACTGTCGGACTAGTGCGGCAGTTGGGGAATCACCATGTTCTGTGTGCCAGACATATTCTCTTCATATGTCATATGTGCTACAGCACCTGAACAGAAAAGCCCAAGACCTGCACCTTCTCTGCCAAGATGCACTTTCTCCCACACGTGCTGGTGCTTGACTCGCTCGCGCTCTTCTGCACGCCTTTGCCGCTCTTCCTCGCGCATGGCAAAGATCTGGTCATCCGAAGGCAGCTTGAAGGGATTATCCTCCTGTCAGCAGAACATGCAAGACAGACAGACACACACCAAAACAGCAGGACATGATATGCAAGCCAAAACCTATCCTGAAAGAATAGCTCAGACACGCTAAAATCAAGGTGTACTGAATCAGGTTCTGATTCATCCAACCCTTTTTCGATCTTCCCTCCAAGACACCTTCATCTTGGCCACCATGGCTCAGCTGCCGAGGGATGGCACCGCTGCCGAAGGGGTGGCAGTGAAAAAGGGATGCCTTGAATGCTTCTCCTGGCCTCCAAATCGTATGATGGCAAGTGCCTGATAGGCTGATGGAGACCTTGCAAGTCTGATCACAATCCACTTCCTTAAATTGATCCTGTTTTGAGCCAAGAGTGCCGATCTATGACTTGGCTACCGAGAAATCCTGTCCGACTCCTTCCTCGTCTCCTCCGACCCAACCAACGCCACGAGCGCCTCGAACGCCTCGGAACGCCTCGGAACCCGTTGGGTCGGCGCAGGTCGTCCACGTCCACCGGTCCGAGGGCCGGAAGACACGGAACCGGCGGAACCGGTGGAGGGTTGAGACGTGAAGAGACGCGGTTCGAATGGACGAGAAGAGACTCCACCACCCAGAGTCGACTTTGGAGTGCCTCGTTTTTGGATGGATCTTGGCATGATCTCAGGATCGCTATGTAAGACCTGCGGTTTGAGGCTCCGTCATTTCAAGTCCTGCGGTTTGAGGCTTGTTCTGGAGGAAAAAAACACAAAACTTCGGATGCTGCTGTAGGGATCGAAACGAATTCACAACGCGAATGGATAACCGGAAGGCTTTGCACCCAGGACCATTTCATAGGCCTTTGGACCATTTTAGACCTGCTTAGACCTGCTGAGCTGGACTCATGGGGTTAGACCATACTAGTAGGAGACCCGTGTTCTGCTGGGGTGGAGAGATCACGTCGGTCGTGTGGAAGTCTCCAAAGCCATCTCTTTTGAAGGCGAACAAGACTTCCCACCTGGTCTGGACCAGAAAAGACCCACACCCCCCCACACCCTTGGAAGAACCAGATTTCACCAGATTTCTGGAAAAAGACAAGGAAGAAAGGTCTAATATCGTTTAGCTATTAGGTTGGAGGCCATCGCTCCTAGTTCCCTAAATATCTAGGAAAAACAAAACCAAAAAAAGCCGCACCGGATAGAAAGAAACACCCATCGAGCTCACGTGCGGTCATGTGCCTCTTCGTACAAGCCCAGGTCGAGCTTCTCATAGATCCTCGACCTTTGGTCCGAGGGGAAAACGAAACCCAAGGCAGTTGGGTTTGGTTACAAAGTTTGGATGCTGTCGTTCACCAACCAGCTTTTTTGATCGGTGAATAAAGCTGTTGCCAGCACTGTAGAAGCTTGGTAATGCTTTAACACATCTGTGGTTCCAGCTCTGATTTTGAAAAATGGCATTGGTTCGCCCTTGCTTCTGGCATTTGGTGCATGTTCATCATGTGACCACCAACCAGCTTTTGGGGCGGCACGGAGGGGTCTAGCTACAACTGACCATGTCTCAAGTGGAACTGTCTCCTGTTACTTCCCACCCGTCGTTCATGGCTTTTCTCGAATCTTCAAGATCCTCACATGTTTGACACAAAGAAGGCATTCTCATTTCAACTATCTTATCTACTGTAGATGCCCAGGGGGGGATCTCCCAGTCCAAGTCGTCAAGCAAGTCTTGTCCGGCTTTGTGTTAACATGTTTTAACCATCAAAGGCTTTGAATGCCGCGCCTAGCTCCTCATCGCTTGGAGGATGTGGCGGGCAGATGGAAGAGTTGATCGCAAACCCAGTTGCTACACCGCATGTCCCTGACCGCGAAAAGAACCTATGGCGTTCCACAGATCTGGATGTTAAACCCCGTTGCTGGCTGGAGAGGAAGGTATTGATTGGTCAAAGTGGTACATGTCTCGGTTTTATCGCCATGAACACGTGGTGCCACCTGTGCCACTGACGCCCTGCCACCCACTGATGCCAGATCTGTGACACATAAAAGACAAGAAGAGCGATCAATCTTTTGGAGGCTTTTCGTCTCAACCATCTAACGATCTACAGATTGAAACTGGAAGATGAGTTGAAAACTCTTGACATCTTGAAGATGACTAGAGATTTGGGAGGCCAAATGATCTAAAAATACCTCTAACTTGCCCGGGAGTCCGAACACTCTCTGTGAAGCCTTCAGCAGGTAGACTGACGGCAAGGGCCTTGGGTCATGGTCCACGGTCCTGGTGGTCACAGTTGAGATGCAAAAGACCCCGAAGAATGTATCAAGATTCTACAAATTCAGATTCTATGGCAACCAGCTTTCCTCAAGAGATATTATATGTAAGATCCGTCGGTCTCCTCTTCTGAGACTTCCAAAATCACATGTCACGCCCCCCAAAAAGCTCCAAGACCAACATCTTTCTCGGACAAATCCTGGCCGGTACATCCCGGCGAAATGCAACACGTCCAAGGTTCCCACCGCAGATCAGAGAGCTTCATTCATGGCATTTGACGCTTCAGACAAAAGCGGTTCAAGACATGGATGTGTCGATGATTTCATAAAACACTTGTGACTCGTGGGGTTTCGATGCTTTTGCATGTCCGACAGAGTGCAGGGAAAAAAAGGAAAACTCCCACACCCTACCATTTGCTAGTCATCAAGTGATCTAAGTGATCGTCTCATATGCGTCTCATGGATCTTTTCGGAAGGTCTATGAAGCTCATACAAGGCAGGAGGCACCTCTCAACGACGTGTCTCAAATGCATTGATTGGGATAGATGCAGAGGCATTCTGCACATCTCGCTGATTTCAGCCACTCAAGGGGCTTGAGCGTACAAAATTCAAGACTTCCAGGTTTGGCAAAAACGGTCAGGGCACTGCTCTTTGGGAGATGTTTACCTGATCCATATGAATCAAATAGAATCCCAGGATATCAAAGGTCAGGTATGCCTCCTGCTAGCCACGCGCTTCCCCAGTCCAAAATCCGAGTTCTGCAAAATGACCCTCTGACAGGTAGTTCTTGGTAGACACGGAGGCCACCTCATGACAGCATGTTTGTTCAGCATGTCTTGGATCAATCTCTTGTGCCCATCTCCTCTGCTACACCAGTTCCGCCATTTTCTCCACTCGTCCTCGTGACACCCGAAAGCTGTTCCAGCGAACGAAGAGATGATCTCTATGCAGAGCTGGAGGAGGTGTCGACTGCTCCATAGAAGCTGTCCGGGCTCTCAGTGAAAGAAGCCTCCGGCATCAACATGGACTCCTGACATGGCTCAAACACAGGATGCGGGACGCTCGCTCTTGAAACGCAAGGGTGATCCGTTTCCGATGTCAAAGGAATGATCATGGTGACCTTGAGGGGGGTCCTCGTACCAACTTGGAAAACTCCCAAGTTGGGTACCAGAACAATCTAGAGCCGTTTTCGATGAACTACCGTACTAAGTCTTCACAGTCTAGGGCCGTTGAGCAGGTCTTCAGAGTGAGCAGCCTCTTTGTACGGCGGAAAGCACAAGCTTGGAGTTCTTCAGTTCACCCAGTTTGACTGCCTCCATATTGATTCACCGGCAGTTAAATGAGAGTATATTCCTGAGTATCGTTTTGCCACTGGGGCTGCTTCACCACACATGTTGTGATGGAATTTACCACTCCTATATAATGCCTTTAGCATTGGCCTAAGCCCCACCACACTCCGCTCCGGGTCGTTGCATGCGTGGTGCGCCATCCTACAGCTGAGTTCGCATGCACCTCCGTACAGATTTGGGGTCGGAATCACTCCCAACTGGAGTTTGCCGACCGTCCACAGGCTCGCAAGACCCCAACCGACCGTCAAATCCAAACAAGCCATCACTCACACCGTAGTGAACCTCCAAAAATGCCAATAACATCTTGAGTATTGTACTGCTATGCTTTGGATTTTATAATATATATATATATATACATTTGTGCCCAACCGTATGAGTCCTTCTGGTGACCTGGTGCTAAGCTGGTGTCCTTTCCCACACACGGTTGGTTAAAGCGCGTTGCATCAGCCCCATGAGACATGTGAGTGTCGGACATGATGTGAGTGTCGGACACTTGATGGGTCGTTGGAAACTTGATGGGTTGTAGGTCTCCCTGGGAGGTCTCCCTCTCCTTTGTTTTTCACACCAGGTGTGACCTGCCATAGCCGCCCCACCTTATAGCTCTCCATCATCTCTGGCAACCAGCGCTCCCAGGCGGTCTCAAAGCCCTGCGGCGGCGCTGGAGTGCACCAGGGCGAAGCCCAGCCATGCACCACCAGCGCCTGGGAGCAAGGCTGGAGGCCATCCAGCGGCCGGTGGGGTGAGCTGCTGGACCTTCAGCTTTGGGGGGTTCAACAGCTTGTCTGGCATGGAGAAAGAATAGAGGGTTGGTGGTTCACTTCGGAGAAAACATGAGAAAATCCCCTCCATGTTTCTCAACTAATGGTTAGTGACTCACCAATAGTACGGTTTGGTTTGTCTCCTGTTTCTTAGGGTATAATGACCCCCCTCTGGCTGTACCTATCATTGGTCTTCCATTTTTGTGCTTCAAGAAAGGAAGGATCAAAAGGTCAAGTTTGCTGGACTCGTGGTGGCAGGTTGGGTTGGCAACTGGCGGCCTCAGGCGGCCGTTTGACTCGGATGGGACCGAAAACCCGAGTAGGCCAAGATCTCAAGGTGTTCAAAGGATCGCGGAGGAACATTGGACCATTGTATCTTCTATGGCACGGCACGGGGAGTTCTAAGACCCCCCACGGTGTCTACCGCAATGCCCAACATGGGTGATTCACTTGTTGGGCAAAATGGACCAAGCTACTGCTTGAAGAAGAACAGATACTGTAGGAGGACATGGTTGACAAGGCTACATCCAGGGTTTCAATCCCCAAATTTATACAATCTCATGCGGTGTAGTGTAGGACCACAGCAAAGTGGATAATGTGTCCATCGCCGCACACCTTTGATGCGAGCTTATTGCTGAGCGCTGAAGTTGGTTGCTCTTGTAATATGATTCTGCTTCCACTACCTCCTTCCAAACATAAGGGCGCCCTTCAAAAATGGTCATATCGATTATATGATGAGTTCATTCTGCTCTTCCAACAAATGAAGAGTCTATCTTTATCAATAAGAGGCTGCCCCAACGCAACTCTGCGCTTGCCTATGCTTGCCTCACCCACACGCTTTCCAGCTGATGCATGGACCACCGTGCCGCCCATGGGTCAGTGGCTACACACCCAACGCCACCGTCGCGCAATCTGCATTGAAATAGGGAGATCCCCCCAAAGACCCGTTGCGGGAAAAAAGGTAAAAACTCCTAGAACCCAGTGGCTGGAGGATCGCCCTAGTCCAATCCATGACCTCCTCCTCTGTTTTTTCCCCTTCCGGAATGCTTCGACGACCACGCCAGGCCCGCCCACTCGGCACAGGCAACCCCTGTGCCCGATCCGAACGTGGGCGCGACCGGCGGCGCGTTTCCCGCGGCCGCGCCGGTGCCGAAGGCATCGGCTGCGGCTCTGGAAGGCCAGCGGTCGCACTGGGAGCGATCGGCGGCGAGGAAGTGATGGGCAAAAGTGGAATCTGAGAGATCAGAGGAACTGGAGACATCTCGGGTCTTGGCTGCGCCATGGTCACTGGAGGTAGCATTAAGAGCTGCTCCAACTGTAGGACCCGTATTGCCGGCGCTGCTGGCGCAGCGCTGGCGCTGCGTGCGGCGGCTCGGTTGGCACGAGAGTTCTTCCGCTGGCGACGTCTCTGCTGGGATCGCGAGGGCTTCTCGTTGGGCGGCCAACTGCACGATCTGTCCTGAACAGGGCAATCCATGGGATCACAACTGATCACAACCCAATGAACTGTTACCTCTTGAAGTATTGGCAAGGCCATGGAAATGCAACACCACTTCTTTCTGGCACACCGCTTTCATAACCTCCCTTTCGCATCTACAATTGTATGTCACACATGATCACACCTGGCAGCGGTGCGAGTCGACTCGCGTCGCGTCGTCGACTTTTTCCGCTCTTCCCCGCTCTCCAGGGCTCCTGAGAGGCCACACGTCCCGCAGGCACGGGGAACGGCGGATCTCCACGGAGCTTCGCCTCATTCGGCACCTCCTCGTCCTGTAGCACTTCGTCCGCCCAACGGCCTAGCGACATGGCGCAACAAAACGGCCGGCCGCGGAAGGCCGGAACCACATGGAGTGGATGGAAGCCGTTTCTCCCAAGTGTAAGCTTTTCGCATCCATTGACTTTGGATGAATTTGGATTGTTTGCTTGACATGTTTAACTGTCAGGCTTGTAAATTGCAGGTTTGTTCATCGCTGATTTGAATAAGAATAGGAGGGGGTTCATCTGCCTTTTAAGGCAAAAAGCTGACCTAAGACTAAAGTACCTGGATCGCATACTCTTCAGTATCCAGCTCAGCGACACTCAATTCAATTAAGGTTGTGAACAAACGCGGAAAAGACCAGGTAGAACACACCTGTATAATCAAGCGACTGCCTTGACATATTCTGAATCAATGGAAAAAAAGAAAGGAGGTGGATAACACGCAAGCCACAGAACAACTCCCCATCGAGATTCGCCTGTGCTCGAGAAGCCCCATTGCCAGCTGGAATTTGAAACTGCTTCACTCCAAATCGGCTTTTCTTCCTCAAGTAGATGCTGTACCAAGTTCATCATCTCTCCTGTATCTGGAAGCTCCTGCAACACTTGCACCAAGCGGATGGTCTCCCTTTCTTTCCCAAATGCCATCTCTCTTCACGCAAAAGCGCTGCCACCAGCTGAACAAAAAGGGGCACCATGTACGAAGAAAAAGGGTCCATTGTTCATTTCTCAGGGCCAACCATTGACATACCCCATTTACATACATCACCTTCAAAGAACCTGACCAGGAGGGTTGGACGCCGAGTTCCTAGTAGCCTCGAGTTCAGTTCGTCTTTTTCTGGAGACGAAGTGTGAAATTGATGAATTGTACAATTGTATGTGAACATGATGAACATGTGACATGTGTTTAGCTCCAATGAATTCAATAGGATTCAATGACTGTATTTTTGTAACACTCCAAGAATGTGTGGAAGTGGATAGCCTCCCTCCTACCTTCCATCGGTTTCTTGGAGGGTAATTATTTCACGAAGCCACTTTCTTTCTATTGTCGATAGCAGACAGGTCCGTTCAGTGCACACCGCATGTCACAAACTTCTCTACATGTCACTTCTCAACAAAAAATCGAAGACCACAAAGAAAAAAAGACGCCCAAGAAAAAAAAGACACCCAAGAAAAGAGATCCGCCCAAATCCCAGTGAGGGTGGCGGCCCTTTGACGGACGTCGCTCCTTTGGCTTCAAGACTTCGGCCTCCGTCCAGGCACGCCGTGGGCCATCCGGCCCAGCAAACCACACCGTCGGGGCCTGGAGAGTGCGCTGAGAGATCTCCTCCCAGCGAGTTGTGAGTTGTGAGATGGAGGAGAAACGCAACTATAAGTGCTGGCAGGAGCGGCGAGCGAAGAGTGCGAGAGCGGAGCATGCGGAGCTGGAAAACTGGAGGGATCTGAAAAAGCGTGGGGTTCACCTGCTTCACCTGATTCACCGGCCTCGGAATAGGAACTGAAACAGATGCAGAGAAGATCGACCAGCTAGACACCCTGCCTCCAGGCGGGCTCCGGTCTCGGTCTCTTCGGTCTCGAGCAAGGAATCCATGTCCTTCGGATGCGGATGCCCAGCTCTGGCAGGTTCCAGCTGCAAGGTGGGAGTCTTCACCTCGGCTGAGGCGGCTTAGTGGGGCGAAGCGACCACCGCCCGAAGGCTTCGGCACCGGAGAAATGGATCCTTTTCGACCCGGGCTTAAGCTGAGACTGGAGGCCCCACGGCGCGTATCTTCTCACCGTGTTTTCTTAGGTGGCCCCTCTAAGAAAACACGGTCAGTGAAGCAATTGGGAGGAGATTGATATCTTTTGAAATCTTTTGATTGAAACGACGTTGACTTCCAATTAAAAGTTCTGTAGATCGACCTGGACCTGGACCACTGGACCTGGTTTTCATGCCTCTGTCACCTGCAACATGTTGCGGGACGGACGATCACCTTAACTCCCAGAAAGTGCCTCTCTACCTGCGCCCTTGAACCTCCCCCATCCAGCCAAGGCGCCGAAGGCGCCCGCGCCGGTGTGGACAGCACCCCTTCCGCCACCGTGACCTGCGGACTCTCTTTCCGCTCGAGGAAGCCATCTAAGACCGTCTCCGGAGGGACGAGCTCCTGAGGGACGTGTCAAGCCGTCACGTCTTCGTCACTTCGTCTGAGAAATCGTCGCAATGGTTCCGATCATAGCTTATTGTTAGTAGTAACTGCCAGGAGCTACTAGTAGCTTCTTGCTACTAGTTTCTTTCTTTCTTTTGTTCACTCCAAAACTTCAATACCAACCCGATGGTGCTGAACAAATAGAGCCTCTGCAGAAGATTAGGACAAACAAAAATATAACGCCCCGCCCCCAAGTCGTCGAGTCTAATCGAATGTTTGGACAACCCGGAACCTTTGGAAGATCCTCCTCCTTCTCACTCTCCTCTGGATCTTGCCAATGAGGTTGTAGTCTCCACCTCAGTAGCCATGTGGCATGCCCTTCTGCACTTGGCACTCTGCCACAGAGGCACAGAGGTCCATCAGGCGAAACAATCAAGATCTATGATCTATAGGAAGGGAATGTGCGATCCTTGTGCTGAGTGAAGACAAATCAGCATGAAAGCAAGGATGTTGAACATCGTTGAAAGATACATCCCATGTAAATAAAACATCCCAACCAGCCAGAATTGTTCTCAGATCTCTTGGCCAATCGGGAATAGAACCTTCGGGGAGTCCTTCCAAATTGGACGAAAGCTGGAGATCCCATGACAGCTTCTTTCCTTGGCTTCAGTTCAATGTGCTGCTTGAATCATTAGCCCCCGTCACGGGCCATCGGCTCCTGCCGCGCCTGCCATCGAATCCATCAGACGGTGTTGAAGTAGGCTGACTTGGAGCAGAGCCCTCTGGTGACTCACTCCTCCTGAACAATGCCCTCAGCCCGCTCAACACCTGGAAGTGTGAAATGGTCAATGTGGCTGGCTGGTCTAATTCCTCTCATTCTACCAGGGACTTGTTGGGCATCAGCAAACACTCCAAACCAAGGACCATGTGATGCTTTTCCATGTCTTGGTCTTCCCCAAAATGTTTCCCCTCCGCGTGAACAGCGCGCCCGCAACCCGCTGAAAAGCGCGACCAGACCGAGGCCGTTCTCGGGTGGGTGCAGATTATGTCGAAGAGGCCAGGCCTAACTGGGCTTAGTGGGAACCCATGTCTCTTCGTTTTCTTCGCCATCGCCAGGCCACCAAGAGCAGAATGGCTGCGAGCCACATCCTCAGAGGTTGCGGCTGAAGGATTACAAGTATGTATGGGGAATACCAATGTGAGCCAAGAACAAATAGAACTTGGTACATGTTCCACCTCTAGCCATACAGGGAACAACTCCTGTGATCAAGCTTGGGACATGTATGTGATCAACTCCTGGAAGAAGAATCTTCTAGCTGCAGAATCTCTACAACCCTGTAAGAGTAACATCTTTGGGCACAAGCAGGGGCTTCTGGAGGATGAGCATGTGTAGCCATTCGGAATAGATCGATCTTGGTACATGTTGAAATTCAAAGAAAACAGTGCCTGCAACCCTCCAGGCCACCTACGGTTCGAGCTCCTACAGGGCCCTTCCCAACCCGAGACCTGTCGAAATGGCCGAGTCGGGTGCTGGGAATTCTCCTAGAATTCGATCGACTCCGACTGGCACCGAATCTTAAAAAGCGCTGCTTCTCCCAGTTAATGTGTCCTTTACAGAATGGTTTTATTCTTCCTTGTGACTTCCTTGAAGTGCCCACCGGGGGTTCCCGTGCTGTTCCCCTTCCCGACCTCAAATCGCTCCACCAGGCATGCTCAGCTGGCCGGAAGGCGCTCGCGCCGCGGTCCGTGGCGTTCAGCGCCACCTCTGCGAGCCAGCTATCGGCGCTGCAGTTGCGCTGGAGGCCCATTCCTGGGCGGCCAGGAAGACCTGTGGATCATGTTGATCTATTTTCACGGCTCGGTGAGGAATTCCTATAGGAATTCCCTTTGTTTGGCCCACAAAAAAGAACTCTCTAAAAAAATGGTCTTCAGAATGTCCTGCGCTCATTCCAATGTCCTTCTTCTCTGAATTGGAGGGAGCCCACCACTTCTTCCTCTATCTCTTTTGACGGTCCCCAGGCAACCAACTGTACCGAGCTTCGCCATCTCAGCTCCTCCACTTCGCCCGTGGCCGTCGCGACATTCAGCAAGCTCAGCCTTGCCTCACGCCACCGGTTCCACCGAACCACCCGACCGTTTCCGGTTCGGGACCCCCCCAAGCCGTTTGGTCACGCACCGGCCCGTTCGGCGACGGCCAACCGTTCGGGTCTTGCCTTGGCCTCGGTGAAGCGTCCCTCGTTGATCAGGGCCCAGACCGTGGACAGGTCCGCGTCGCGCGCGTGTTCGGCGGCGAAGCTGCGCTGCAGCTCATGCCAGCGAGTCCTTTGGACGGTGCGGACGGTGAGTTGAATTTGTTGGAAGGTCGAGTGCGGGACGTGAGGACACACGGATGAGTGGATCATTTTTACATGGATCTGTTTTCGTGACTTGGAGGATTTCGAAAGAGGACATCACCAGATGACGAAAGGACTAAAGTGCCCTGTCATTCAAAAAGTGCTTCATTGAATTGTTATACCTTCCGAGGGCAGCATGAACAGCACATCATGTCCAGTAGATAGAAGGGAGCCATTTGTATAGGGCATTGAAATACATGTCACGGTGGACTTCTCCACCGTCCCTATATCCTTTTGTTTCGTAGACTGTCGACTTGTATATCAAATTGATATAGGGATATTGATCTCCACATCCCGGTTTTCCATATATCACTGTCACAGTGGATTTCAATGTTGATTTCTATATAGGGATTTATATTCTGTTGACTGTTGATGTCAATGTGAATGTCAATGTCTCATCCATGTCACAGTGGATTCTCGTCCAAAGAAAGGAGACCACTCCACCGACGAGACGATGGACGGTGCCCGGTCGACGGCACAGGTTGCAGGGCTGGAGGGAGGTGGACTGTGTGATATAAACAATAGAGGCTAGGTCACTCAGGCTCTGGGTATACAGTTATACCATCCAAAATGGGTAGAATTGCGCGAATTCGAATCATAGAAAGTGCTTTGAGGAAGAGTCCTACAAGACTGATAGAACCAGTGTTGTTGTTTGTTGTTTTGTTTTTTCGATGTTAGTTGTGATTGGCAAGGAGTAGTTATGAGTAGTTTGGTGTATAGTGTTTACCCCTTCCCTAGAAACTATCAACTCTCAAGGAATTCTTTCGATATCTTCACCCCCTGTTTGAGCTCAGATTCTTTTGCTGCTTCAGCTGTTGCTTCAGCTTCTGCATTTGCCCCGCATGCCGCACTTGCCCGTCTTTGGGTGGTCGAACGCTCAGATTCCAAGCATGGGCCGGACAAAGCAGCAGCCGCAAAAGAACTTTACACCTTGGCTGTCCAAAGCCATGTACTGATCCAGTTGCTCTGCCCAAACTCTAATGTATCTATGATCATCATTGATCTATGCCAATTTCAGGAGACCTCCATTCGTAGACGCTGGTATTTGTGGCAGTCCAGTTCGCTGAGGTTCCAAATCCGTGGAGAACTGCCAGCCAAACACCAAGCCCGTCCATCGAAGCATCTCAAAACGTCTGGGGCAAGGCATTCACAGCAAAGCACTTGCGAATGGAGGGGCAGAACTACACGCGATTTGCTGGCTTTGGTGGAACTCACATGCGGCCCACACCAACCGCTGGTACTTCTGGGGTCCAGCCCGTAGCTCCTATCAAGTGGGGAAGGGGAGATCAAAGCTCATGTGGCTTCCTACAAAGCTCTAAGCCCTCCAGAAACTCATGCATGCACCGATGGTTTGGATGATACATGGTTTGCACCTTCAGCTTTCCAGTGTGAACCTTCGCAGATTTCTGAGGTCTGGACGTGTTGAGTGACATCTGTCGAGTGGAGGTCTAAGTATGTCATTTACAGTGATCGGTCTGAGAAGAGATTATATCTAGACCGAACAAACAGTGTATATATATATGCATATATGCATATATGCATATAATATATTATTATAGACGTATTCTTTCAGGCAACAGTCTATCATAATTTCTGAGTGAAATTGATCCTGAGGTGGTCGCCCCCACCGTGTGTTCTGCCTGAACCGAGCTCACCAGCCCCGTCCCGGTGGGTCTACCGAGGCGCCAGGTCGCAAGCGTCATGACTTTGCCATGAATCGCCCGGAGATCGCGTGCTACTTTCGGGGTCACTAGACCAAACCTGGGTGATTCTGCCTGATGCACAAGACTCTAAGACCAAACCTGGTGTTTGCGACCAGAAACCGTCCCCTCCAAGCCTCCAAACGACCAGACACCGTCCAATGAGTGGGGTCTTCAACCTAGTCTGATCCAGTCTGACCCACCTTGGAGCCACCGAAAAGAAAGGCAAGCCTTTTCCTGCCTGTTGGAGTTGAACAAGTGGGGAAACCCATTCCCCAAACGATGCAGCTGATCCGCTGAACTCCTGGGTAGGTCTTCGGTCGGGTCCCAAATCCAGTGACCCCGAACTGGGCAGGAACTTCTCTGCGGGAACTTCTGCGCGCTATTTCGCACAGCTTGAACAGCAGGTCTTCATCGCCCGGGCTTCTCGCGCCGCTTTTCGTCGACCCGGTCGGGGAGCCGGTGGTCGAAGGTGGGGCGGCGTGGTGTGTCCGGTGGTCGGTGGGGTCATGGGAACCCGGCCAAGTCGTTGATTCGTATGTCAGAAGATCGTCTTCCAGGGTCTAGGTATAGGTTCATTGTATCAACATTCTGGCATCATTCTGGCCTATAGACATTTAGGATGAAAGTCCGTGAAAGTAAGTTGAAACTTGAGACGATGATTTGGTGCAGTCATGATGCAAGATTTGGTGCAGTCATGATGCAATACCAGAGATTCTATACATCCTGAATGAACCGTCTCAACATCTCCATCGGGCGGCCCATTCCACTGCTTTGGGAAAGAGCTCACCAGTCATCACCAGTCCTCACATAGTTCACAAGTTGCATTCTGTCGCCCTGGAGACCCATCTTCCAAGTGTTCGCCATCTTTCGCCAGGCTTGCCCCCCACGATGCAGGAACCAAAAAAAAACGGAACACCTGCGCTGCGCATTCGCCACCGGACGATCCAGCCTGCTGAAGCCGCGCCAAGGTCAAGCTGAAGGCGAAGATGGCACCAGAGAAGAGCAGAACTGAGAAGGCCAGGCCTTTCCAGAAGTTCTGCCGCAGTGTCTTCCTTCGAAACATGCGCGGTTCCGGAGGAGGCGACCGACACCGTGTGTTTTGGGTTGCACAGACGCAGGGCACCGCGTCGGTCGCCCGTTTGAGTGGGCCAAACACATGCCTTGCTGCGGTCCGGTCGAAACACCGGTCGCAGACGGAGCGGCAAAGCGAGGAATGGTTCAACAGTGCCTTTTTCGCAACGTCCATGTTGGGTGGAGGGAGGGTACGCTTTTTGGTGGGTGAAGATCTGGTCGAAAAGAGAAAAGAAACGTCTGCTTAGCAGGGGGAGTGCTTGGACCAGCCAGTTCGGGTGGATATGCCTTGCCACCATCCAATACCCTCCGAACTGGCTGGTGCTGGTAGATGTGGGTGGAGGGTTTCTTCCTTCAGTGACTCGGAGGGTTTCTATTCAACTGGGTTTGATGCAGAAAGGCACATGAAGAAAGGAACGAGGGAGTTGCTCTCAGAGCCAGACAGAGCGCATCATGCCGTTGCAGGATGCGGCCAATTTTTGCAATGGCGAAGCTTGGCATGAGTAGCACCTTGAAATTGTCGTAAGGATAGCCAATTGAAACAAAAGCTGTGAAGACCTCATTATCCTGGAAGAATCTGGAAGACCTTGAACATGCCATGCATTTTTTGTGCATGTTTTAAGTATTTGGCCCCAAAAAACATCAGGATTGTATGACTTGGAAGAAACGTCACCAACCTCCACCACAAATCCAACAACCCCATCCGTTGACAGAAATCGCCCAACGACCCAAAGCAATGACCATCAGACCCCAGGGCGCATTCAACACCCACAGAACTCGTCCAAAGCCCAGCGTCCAGTGCGCTACGGGCGACTCCACCCACTCAAAGAACAAGGGATGTGCTGCAGTCTTCCGATAGGAGCTGGCCCAAGCCTCCACTGCGAGCCTGGAGGACGGCGCCGCGTAGATCCGCCACGTACGCAGAGCTGTCGAATGGGTTTAGGGACACATGGATCGACACCAGCATCTGCAGTGCAATATGACTCCTGAGGGTCCAAATGACTCCTTTTACCTCGAACTGGTAGGTGGAGGATTGTGACTTCCAGGGTGGGGTAAAATGAGTTTAACTAGTTATTGATGTTATTGGAAAGTTCTGGGTGACTTGTCCCCTTGACGGATCTGAACCCTTCTGTTCTTACGCATCCAAACCCTGCCACGCGCTTTGGCGTCGCCGCGTCGGCCGCGTCACCTGTGGACCAGGGCGGACCAGGGCGGACCGGGCGGTCCGAAGCGGCGGCATCTCCGGTCAACCTTCCCGCCCTCGAACTCCATTCACCACGCGTAGCACCCGAACGCCACCGCGCGCCTGTAGAAGGGCCGTGCTTCGAGATCGGTGGAGCGGATGCCGCCCTCAGCCCAGGGGTGGCGCCAAGCACCGCAGCGGAAGTTGATGTCCTCAGGGCATGCACCGCAGCGGAAGTGGTGTGTCACCGAAAAGCAATGAAAGGCACCGGTGGTCGGCACCATTCGAGGTGGTTTGGGAGCGGGGAGGCGATGAAAGGCGGGTCAAGGGATCCTCAGAAGCTGAAGATGCGCTCCCTCAGGTACTCACTGGTGGAATGGGCAGTAGAGCTTCACCCCATCTACTTGGCCGTTGTACCCATCGATAGAAACCTTGGACCCGCTGTTCTGCGGGCATCGGGCATATAGAGGAGAATGGATGTTGTGCTTCCGCATTGGATGCTGTGAATTCGACACTATAAAACATCTGAACTGCGACCCCTGTCTCCGAAACCCAGAAATCTGAGATGTTAGACGATGTTAAATCATTATGTCAGACCCAAAACGAACTTGAACCGTTAGTCTAGTTGTTTAGATTGGTCTGGCTGCATGCCACTGCTGACCCCATAAGCTCGAACCTCAGCTGAGAAGTTGCTTGACAGATCTCAGAGCCAGACTAATCAAGAAGATCATAGAAAATCGCAGATGGTTCATCCTGTTTCCCTCGAACCCATTCTTATGAACACTTCCTGGCCCACAAAAGGTCAGATCGAATCCCAAACCTGGGCGCCACTTGGCGAACGACGAACTTGGTGCGTGATCCCGTGCGTCCTTCGAATCCGGATCACCGAGTCACTGGACAGCTGCAGCAGTCGACCCCGACAGCAAAGTAGTCATAGCTCCCATAGCCTCAGGATCCAAGGAACTCTACTCAGCGGGAGCCAACCTGAAATCATCAATGCGTACACTCCCCCTAGGGCTCCAGTCGTACCTCCTCAGAAGGTGTTCGGACCCTACTGGCACCCCACCCCAGTCCCACCTTCTTGACCAAAGGCCCGGAGGAGATGTCTTCGGTGGGATCCGTTGATGGTTCTGAACCCCAAGCACCAGCGGACACTGCCATAGTGGGACAATCGATGTGCTTTTTGATTAAGTGGATTTTTGTTGGGAGGCCGCACGACACCCATCAAGTGGCGACGCCCACGGTCTGATAGGATAACACTTTCACCCAAGCAGCGGGGCGCTCCGCCAATGTTGTGGAGCATGGTCCCGTTGGTGACGATGGGTGCGATGCAATAAGTGCGGCCGGCATTCCTTGGGAGCGATTTCGCCAGCTGGGGAAAGATCTTGAAAGAGGAAGCCAGGCCAAGTTCAGGTGATTTCCACGCGACGCTTTGCGACATGTGCTTGAAGAGCAGTGAACACCGTGAACACCCATTGATGATGTACAAGGTATCTTTGTGTTCATAAGCAGTAGAAAGACTAAACCCACAAGCAACAAGTGTTATCTCAAAGTAGGGACCCAAAATGTAATTTCAACATGAGATCTGTCACAGATCATCTGTGTATAAACTAAATGGCTTCTATGAGTGTATCTCAAACCTGTGTGCATGCTATCAGCCAGCCATGCGTGGAATGCAGGATAATAATATGATGGATGAGGTCGTGATCTGATTCCGGATGGCGGAAAGTAAAGTGTGCTGCTGCTGTAATATGCTGTATATAACGAAGTTTGTTGTTGATGATGATGATGGTGATGATGGTGATGATGGTGATGGTGATGGTGGTGATGGTGGTGATGGCGATGGCGATGGCGATGGAGATGATGTTGACCATGACTATGTCTGCCTGTGTGCGTGTGCTGTGCATCTTATACTGTTATGAAGGTAGGATGAGGATCATGATACTGAGCCGGAGATGGATGCACACTGGGAAGCAGTGTGCTGTTGGACCATCTTCTAGAAAAAAAAGAAAGAAATCTGTGCAACACTTGATCTTGGATGAGCCTATCCACCTTGGCAAGCACCCAGCGCAGAGAAAGACATGCAGCAAGGCATGTAAAGGACCGTCCACCAGGACCGGGGCCAATCCACCCAATATGCCTGACGAATCCCACGTGGCTAGCAGCTAAGCTGTCACCCCAGGAGTAAAAGAAAACACTGATTTGGCAGCTCAATGTAGACTTTTGATAGCTTTTGATTAATAAGCCCCCCCATTTGGATGCACGAACTCACGGGCGGTCGCACGCTCCCACACTACCCCTTGCCAGGTATTCTGGCGGGTTTAGGTGGGTGGTCGAGGTGTGAAACCAAGCCTAAAACCAGAAACGGACACAATCACAAACAATTCACTAAACAGGGAACCAGGCAGCTACGAAATGGACGTATGAGTGGAGGATTCAAGGTTTCACAGAATTACGAATTAAGTTGGGGTATTGCAAGAAGTTACTAATTTGGGCCCGGATGCATGACGGAATCGAGGTCTTTCTTACGGAACATAACGTAGCGCATGTGCTGAGTGAACTGATCACGCTTACTCGGGGCCACCTCTGGCCATTCTGGCCATGGTTCCTTATCTATCTTATCTGGTAGATCTGGTAGAGAAAAATCCGTGTGGAACGGTCGCTCCTGAGCCAGTGTAAGAATCATTTCGGAAATAAAGGAGTATGTTTCTTTTGCATTTGGCAAGATCGGGCGTCGTGAAATACCACCCTCATGGTAGTTGCTAAAACCCAATTTCTGGAGACTACACGTGCCTTGTTTTTTATATGCAGGGATAAACTTGGAACGTGAAAGAGTCTGCAAATGTTTGACAATGAGGCGAAAGGATTCAGCAACAACACGCAAGGAACGTTTTTTCGGTGGCAGCATCTGCACCCTGGCGTCAGTCAGGGGGACTGCTACTTGGTAATCCCCTTCGGGTATCTTAACCGGCAAAGGCCACCCCGACCACAGCATAAATGAAATTGCCAATTCTACCCAAGAGATGCCCGGGTCTCGGCAGGCCTGTTTCTGCTCAGCTGAGGGCCACGATAATGTGGTACAAAATTTCACAGACTAGGCGGGCATAATTAACACCCCAAGTGCACGACCAAAATGTTGTTCGGTGCGGTTCACCCGGAATGAGATGGGTTGACAAACCTCTTCATAAGTCTGTTACTATCTGTTACTTCTGTTGCTGGAAATTAAGAGTCTTCAACAATCAGAAGAAAAAGGAAAAAAACTCCACAGACCCTACTGTACCGCTCTTTTCGACTGTCCCTTCCATCAACGGCCGCTTCCAGTTCAGAAACCCCCCTCCCCCTCCCCTGTGCTTCGGGCGTCATGAAGCACCCGGCGTGCTCCGAGTCGATGCCCGCGCTGGACACGAAGTCCACGGCGCCCGCGTCCTGGATCTGCGTGCCCGGGACCACCGAGGGGTCGATGCCGCGGTAGGCCTGGAGGTCCCGGTGCGGAGCGAGGTCCCGGTCTCTGACCTCACTGGTGACTGGTGACCTCACCGGGGGTAGTGCTTAAAGCTGATGCTTTTCGGAACAGCGGTTTAAATGGGAAAGAGATTCCGTCAAGGAGGAACAGAATGGACGCAGCTTGATGATCCAGCCTTCAAGAGGGAGACCTCCGAATACTGCTGCCAGTAGTGCTCCCAAAGATGATGCCCTACCAAGCCACCGCTCACTGCACCCAACAAGCAGAGCAGCAACTTCCAGCAGGGGAACCTCGGCGCAGCGACTCGCTCGCGAGGTATGAGAAAGTCCACCTTATGGCTTCTGGGTCTCCAAAAACTCACGCTAGTCAAAATGGAAGCCTCTGTGAGAAAATTCCTCAAATACTCCTTATATCTGTTGATTCATGTGGATTCCGATACAGGTGTGTACTTGTCCATCAGTATCTACGTAATTCCTCCAGTCCTTCTCCAGGCCTCAAAAAGCTTCCGTAGTCTAGGTCGTCTACCGGAATTCTGAAGCTTCCAAGCGGTCCAAGCGTCCAACTGTAGTAAATCACGGCCCGCTCGTGGTGGTTCTTGTGGATCTTTCCAACTAACACCTGCGAGCGGAAGCGGAGGCGGACAGAAGCGGGGTCCAGACTGAGAGATGGCCACCTTGGTGGGCTTACGGCTCCTCCTCCATAGTTCCCTAGTCCCCGAGTTCCATCCCATCTCCTGAACCCCCAAGTGTCATCCAAGGATGAGCCCTTCAAAATCCAAATCCATCATCCGCAACACAACTGCCCAGCCACGCTCAACAGCAGCACGCCAAGGGAACCCTTGAGCCGACAAAGGATGCCAACGATCACCACCACGCAGAGCGCCGCCAGCCAGCGCGGCAGCAGAAAGGCCGCCAGCGACAGCACAAACGTCACTACCTGGGCGCGGACACGCATTTCCGCGGATGCGCTGGTGCGACTGCAGTGAGGCGGAGGGGGAGGGTTGGTTGAATTTGGAAGGAGCAGATGCGGCGCAGAAGGGGGGAAGGACAAAGTTGCTGGGAACTTCCACTTGTGTTGACCAATACTGGAGCCGCGGACGTGCTTCTCATTGGCTTCTGAAGGGTTGTGTTGAAAAACCTCACTTGTGCCGGATGGCTCCAACAAGGCATCCCTGATGGGGGGATGCTCGTCTTCCGTGTCTTCCATACCAAGTACAATCAGGAAACCTCGCCAGCATCCTGGCCACAAGCCTTGGGCCAGCATGCTGAGCATGCTGCCATGGGACATGGGAAATGTTCAAGATTGATTTGTCCGACCATGATAGTCCAGGCATGAGAGGGCTGAACCAACACTCTTCTCGGTTTCAAGACCGATGTATGTCTACTGCATTTGGCTGCGCCTCGACCACTCCATTGGACAAGTGGCCACCGGCCACGTGCAATCGCAGGCCCGGCGTAAATTCCCGCCATGCCTAGGAACGGCCACGTAAGTTTTTGAGCAGGTCTCGGTGAAGGGCAGCCCCAAATGATTGAAAAAAGAAGCAAGGAGTTGACCATCTGGAAGGCGCTTGTGGATTCTGAGATCTTGATCAATGGGTCCTCTATTCCGCAAAGGTCTACTGAAGGGGCTATCTGAGAAAAGACCTTGGACACGCATCCTCCCTCGAACAAGGTCCTTCATCGTTGCCGTCGGCCGGTTGGACGTCGAATCTTCATCAGACTCACTGTCGGTCACTAATTCGGCGATCCTTCTTCAATGTCGGCTCATCCAAAAGCGAAGACCAGTCCTTCTCACAGAACATCCTCCTCTCCCGTCCTTCGAACAACGGATCGACATGTCGTCTTCAAAACGGGTCCCAAGGGTCGGAGATCGGCTTCGCCGGGCATGTGGGCGGAGCGTCACCGTTGGATCTTCTCCCCAGCCAGAAGGGTTCTTCCGAATTCCGCCCAGACACTCGAAGCCGCGCTTCGGAGGCTTGCCGTGAATGAGCCCTTTGAAGCCTTGGTTTTCAGGTTTGAGTGCAGAGGGAAAGAAGGACACTCCAACAATCCAGGTTCGGACTATAGACCAGTCTACCCAGCCAGGGCCAGGAGGTCTCCCCATCCAAAAACACACCTGTATATAGCCTATCAGGTCACCAACCCTGCCACTATTTGAGTTTTTCATTTCAGCCACCGCTGGGTTCTGAACGAGTTCACGGAAACTCAATAAATTGCTCGCTGAAGTCGGGTTTTGGGGCACAGGCTCAGTTCTTTGAACATGGTCTCTAACAGGCACAAATTTTCTTCTCCACTAGGGGAGATCATGTCCAACCATCACCTGAATTTTCGACCACATCAACCAGTCCCAAACCCACCGGCACGGCGGCTGAAGCCCGCCTGCGGCTTCACCCAGCTCCCGCTCCCATCACGTGCGGGCGAAGCGCTGTGATTGTAGGAGGCCAAATATCTGGCCTCGTCCTCTTCCAGAAGGCCTTCTTTGAGGATCATGGCCACTTCGTTCCTCGCTCTCTCAGAACGGAGAAAGAACAGCTCAGTTTAGTATTGCTGCGGTGAGCTGGGACTCGGCTTTCGGCGTCTGGTCTGACCGCCAGTGTTTTCCCGGGAAAATGGGATTGAACGGAACTGCCTGTTGGACTTGAGTGAGGTTTCCCCAGTCCCCCACAAGGTTACAGTGGTTTCAGAATAGATGGCACAAACTCCAAGATGTCCTGTAAATGGGGGTCGACATAAACCACCTTTTGGGGATTGTGCCATCTACTCTGAAACCACTGTAAAGGTTATCTGACTGGGTAGGTTGTGCGTTGGCGTCTGGTTGAATGTAAGCCTCCGTGATGGTCGATGGCATTCCACGGAGGGAACAACATCCCGTCTAGCAGTCCACATAGACTCACTGAGCATCTCCTTACAACTTGTAACTTACAACCCTTCGCATGAGAGCCCTATGGTTCATCAACTTAGACCATGTCTAGGTTCACTTGAGCAAACTCCCTGATCACGGTTTCTGGGGTGAAATGGTCGCTCTCATGAACGCGGCCACCTCGGTGGCCACCCGAGCTCTCGTTCACCTTGCGTTCGGACCTCTCCAGTGTCCTCCAAACTGCCAACCAGAATACCAGGCCCATCCAAAAGGGTCCTGGCTGGACTACCCTACGCTACTCAGGGATCTCCGGCGACACCCTTTGAAGGGTCATAATGGTCTAGGTATGATCCCCTCTCTTGGTCCACTCATCTCAGTGCCCCTGCCGAGCGGCTGATCCAGTGCCCCCCCTCCCAGGAGGAGAGACTGAGCCCAAAATGATTCGGACGATGGACGATCGTCCGTCCCAGGAAACGAGAGGAAACGAGAGCCGTCAGACGTCCAGAGGTGACGTAGTTGTTGTTCTTTTTTTTCTCCGGGCCTTTGAGTCGTTCCAAAAACACATGTGCTTGCAGCCCTATGGCACTATAGATGACCACAGGTCGACCTCTGAAAAGACTGGGCTCCTGAAAGACCAGGAACTGATTCTTCAAGTTCTGTTGAAAAATCCTACCATTTTTACTTGTGGGTCAGAAAAGCCTGGGTACCCCCCATGAACACCATGCAACATTCCAGCCACACCGTGGCTTTTTTTCTCGACCCACTCTCAGGATCCTCGACCGATGCCTCTACCTTTTGAAACGTTCACAGCAGCTGTCTGCTGACTCACATGGGACACGTGTGAAGTACGGACAAAATTTATGCTGTGCGGCGGTTGCATCCTTTCATATCCTTTCCAATGTGAGTCCCCTATGGTTTTACAAGGGGATCAAAGTCCCCACAAATCACCCAAACTTCCACATCATGGTTCAGGGGCCTGCAATGCTTATCCAGTGGAGTTCTTGGGAACAAAGTGGTTTTCGGCTGAAACTTGCTGCATCGCACCTTTTTTGGACCACTTGGCGTGGTCTCGGATCAGCACGAGAGGCTCAGGCTGGCAGTTCAACTCCATCCACGATATCCGGCCAGCCCGTAAATTCCTGGGCTCACAAAGGCTCTGGACTGGGCTCCACAGTCTACCATAGGTCTCGTCTTAAATCTGAGAAACCTTTCCTGTTCTTTCCACTTGTGGGATGAATGTGGGATGCTTGCCATAGCATGGCTGCCAAATGAACCAACACGGATGTGGGGGTCATTCCCTGTGTCCACCGTTTCGCGGATGTCCACTGTGTCACCCGAAACGGCTTCCGCGGCACACTCTGCGCGCTGGGGCCCGGCACGCGGCACCATCCCCATTCCTTACCTGCACGTGTGCGGCGCGCGGTGGAAGAACGGGACCTCGCGGCGAATCGGCACTCCCTGACCCTAAGAATTCCAAGAAGATCCAGAAAGTTCAAGGTTGAATTGCAAGGCAAATAGAGCCCAGGTAACGTGAGAAGTGGACGTGCGCACAACTTGCGACATCCGACTCACATGTCTTCACTGGAACGGCATCCTGCTCGGTTTATCTCTGGAACAGCAAGTTGGAACTCACGCATCCTCTGACCAATCAAAACATCAAGCGACAGACACCTGTGACAGTGGATGCGCGAAAGCTCACGCGCTCGCCTGCTTGCTCTACTTGTGATGGCTCGATATAGCACCACTTCCTGCCGGCTCGATCTTTCAGACCTATGACCTAGTGCAAAGAGATTGTATTGATGCGTTGATCGCGAGCGATTCTTTACTAGCTCATTCAGTAAGCCAGGTGTTCTCAAGAACTGGCTACCATCAGTGAGTTCCAATGCCATTGCTGAGATGAAGAGCAGTGTTGAACATCCTTTATTGCGACAGAAGTGCCGGTCAAAATCAGTGAGCTGAGGCTTCAAAGCAGGGGAACATCCGAAAACACTGGGTGGAAGGAAAAGGTGGCCATGAAATGCGCAAAAGAGGACGACGCAACAGGAGTCTTCCAAGCGCAGGAATCTTCAGGGTCCAGGTATGTCCAGGTGGTGCAGTCTCCCACGAACACAGCGGACGGGGACGAGTGGAGTCTCCCCCTGCACCTTCGGTCTGTTGAGGGTCGTCCGTTGCCGCAACCCGCCATCCACGTCTTCCATGTGGTCGTGGGTCAAAGCAAGGGCTACCGACACCATGTCCAGCTGGCCGAGGAATACATCAGGGTAAATCCAAAAAGACTCGTTGTCTTTTGTTTCACGGTCCTTGGAATGGTCTTGTGAGCAGCAGCGGTTCCACACCGATGTCCATACCGTTTGGATCTGACGGAGGAGCCAGATCCGGTCCCTTACATCCATGGAGCCCGTTGACCTTCCCCGGTCGGTCCACCGGTCGGTCCACCCAGTTCGCCTGGAGAACGTGTTTGTACTTCGTCGCATGGCGAGAAAGAATGACCAAGGATGTTGGCAATTCGAGACAGTCAAACACAGTAGGCTAATTAAGGTGACAATCCTAATGTCTAGAAGAAGATGTTTTCTATAGATGAACCTATCTCCATCAATCGCCAAGCTTGAGATCCTCCATGCAAAATCTGTCACCTGAATCAGGAACATCGACACCTTCTCCCATCCAAAAACATCCAAAAAACCAAACACCGACAACAGCAAGAAAAGGAAGAGTACGAGCCCAAAAGTCCTTCCAATGTTGGTGCCATCCGGCGCGGGCAAATCGCTACAGCCTGTGAAGGCCTTGCGTCGAGGCCGGAGGCAAGTCGATGGACCATGTACCAGTGGAGTGCATTTACATGTGGATGTTGGGTAGGACATAGGACAGTATCCGCTGTGCCACTGACTAGCAGTCACAAGTGCTGGATGTTCCAAGTGACTTGTTCGCCAGACAAACTACTAGAAAACCTGGAAAAAGAAAAGAAAAGAAGAAGAATAAGAAACGGATTCTGAGGTTCGTCAATGAGATGTGTGTAGCCAACATATTCCTCTAAATGTTGGCCTCTGGTTTGTCATCATCCATACACACTGAAGGAAGCATCGACCATGAAGTCAGCACTAGAGGATCCCCCTTTACACAAAGCTTCTGGCGATAGTTTTTGTAGATGATGTTGGGAGGGATCAAAACCTGTTTTGTCCCTTTTGGGGATCTCCTTTCTCACTTCAAACCCTGCAGTACCCCAGCTAAGCGGAAGGGGTCGAAAGAATGGCCGTCGCTGTGTCTTCGAAGCTCCATTTCAAAGGATCCTGCAGCAGCTGGGCACCGCCCCCGGGCGCGTTTGGAGTCTCGCGCAGAAGTGCCCGGCGGGGGCGGCCGGGCACCCCCCCGCCCCCCGGCGCCTGTTCATCCCGAACGCCGGCGGCGGCGCAGAGGAAGCCGTCTTGCGTCCGCTTCTGAGCGGAACAGGACGGAGCAGAGGTGGACACTGGAGCCTGGAACTCAAGTGACCCCCCTTTGGAGAACAAGGATCAATAATAAAGTATATGTTTCTCGGATATAAGTCTTTTGATGTCTTTTGGATGGTTACTGTGAAACTGAAATGAGATAGGTTCTAGGGCTCTAGGTGCACAATGTCACAAAGGTTGAAGAATCATAGAAACTCGATTGGAAAGTTGGCCAGTACATGCCACTACTCTAAGCTTCGGGGAGAACTCCACATTCATATTTTATTCTCGTGGCCCACGGCGATTCGCGCTCGGCGAGCGACTTGCGACTTCCCTGGAGAACCGCTTCAAGCAATTCCCTAGGACAGCCAAGGAAAACCCAAGAGCGAACACCCTTGTATGTCCTTGTATGTCCTTGTATAGAACTCTGCGAAAACGGGAAGGAAACCATGACAGAGAAGCAAAACCAGCTGTGTCACCTACCTGCTTCCCTGATGTGGAACCCGAGTTGTGAGAAACAAAGGCCCCTCCACGTCCATCCCCCGAGGTCTTCGCTGCAGGTCACCGACCGGTCGGACCGACCCGACCCGAGCCGAACGGACCGGGGCGCCGCACGTGCTTCGAGCGGAACTTGGCCAAGTTGTTCAGCCTCGGGACGTCGGTCCGGCGGTCGGATGGAACGGAGATGGAAGCGGAAGCGAAGCGGGAACGGAAGCCTGGGATTCCTGGGGTTCACCAGGTGTCAGGTGGAAGTGGAGATGTTAATTGGTCTGTGTTGCATCGTGAAATTGGACCCTTCTGATGGGGTGAAGATCAGGCACCTGATCGATGAGATCAGGCACTCACTGGTCTTTTTCAAGGCGACGAAGAGGCGGACTCTTGGGATCGAATAAGCGGAGAAGCGGCTGCCTGACACCTGATGAAAACACCATCTTCAACCACTTGGAACTGTTCCGTATGCTCGCAAAAGTGAGAGATAGAACGCGATCACCAACATTGCCCTTCCAACCCCCCAAGAAAAACTTCGCCCAGCTCTTCGATTCTACCAGAGAGAGAGAGAGAGAGAGATCTTCCATCTTCGCATCAAAGAGACGAGCCCAAAAACCGACCCCTCTCTTCGACCCAACAGGTCACCCGGCGGACTGTCGGGCGGTCGAGGCAGCTCGGCTTCGGTGGCCTTGTCCTCCAAGTTCGCCTCTCCGCGGCTCCGCGGGCGCCGCGGAGCACGGCGCCGCGGAGGGCGGACGCGACTCGGCCGGTGGATCGAATGAAGTCATCACTCCTGAAGTATTGAACTATGGCACTTGGATGAACGACACAAGTGATCTGCTCCTTTTGGACCTTTTGGTGGCCACTGCCCAACACACACTAGAAACCTCGTTTGCAGCTCGGAGTGGAACTTGCAGCAAGGCCCCATCTGAGCAGCCCTAACAAACAAAATTGACACATACATACCCAAAACAAGTACAACAAGCCAGAAACACCTGAGACTGGGAATGATGAGAAAACCGACAGACTGCCAAGCTTTCATGCTGGCCAAGCTGTCTTCTAGCTCTCCAGAGAGCCAGGGGCAGCAAGACTAAATATCCCTCCATGGTTTGGACATCTTGCACCACTAGGTTTGGCCATGGTGTCATGGTGGAAACCCTAAAGGGAAAGTAAACCATCGTGTTGCCATAGCATCACACATCTTCTTGGAGTTCTTCCCTCCGTGCACATGGCCGCCCTGGCCCTGGAAGATGGGAACGCCTCATCGAAGCTAGTGCCGAAGAAGGAGGCCAAAGCTTTGGCATTCCGTCGAGAGGGCATGGAGGCTTCTCCTCCACAGTGATTTCGACCGAGACCTTGTTGGACCCTCGGCAAATGGATCTGTTCACCCTTCATCAAAACGGGATGTCCATAAGACATACTCATGCTCACTCATGGGACTCATGTGTCACTGATGTTTGCGCTTTCAGTTCGATGGGCGAAAGGAATAAACTGCCAAGAAGGGCTTGCTCTGCCAAGAAAACAGTTATATTATATAACTTATATAGTTGGCATGCCTGGATGTAGGTTGAGAGGTGACTTGTCTGACACAAAATCGGACCTGTAAGCAATGGAAGAGCCGCGCCCACTTGCTTTGGTGTGCGCAATTCACATACTCCTGCGGGGCAGCGCACCGTCGGCAATTCTGCCGACACTACAGCAAGCTCGAAAATGTATGTTGATTCTTTGCATGCGTGAGTGCAGTGCATATTCGATCTACCATGTCTCAGCACAGGAAGCGATATCCTGAAGTGCTGGATGGCACGTGATGAACTATCATGCCAATCGAACCTGTGCAAACCTGCTGATAACACGTTTTGCTCGTCAACTCAATCGAGGCGACGACAAAGCTGTGTACTACATACCTTCAACAGTGGGTAGTTGTCCATGTGTTCAATCCTCCATCTGATGTGTGCACCTACAATACAAAAGGAACGGGAGGGTGCATGCGCCCTAGCTGCAGCGATTTCTCCGCTCCAAACAACGGTTTCTTCTGTTTGGAGAGCTGGGAACCCTGGCCCGATGGGTTTTGGTCTAGTTTTCCTTCTTCCAAGGGGGTCGTTGCCTGGGAGGTCTCCCTCTTTGAGCTACACACTGTTCAGAACACTCTCAGCGTCCCGAAACTCCCAGCGGCCTGGTGCGGCAAGGCTCTCGGCCAAGCGTCCCATGAAGTTTCGGAGGAATCCGAAGTGGTCGAAGCGAACGAGTGAAGAACCCAAGCGGTGTTCGCCGGTGGATCTGCTAGCTGACTTGGATCATGTGACAACTGTCTCTGAGGTGGTGCAGAGGTGGTGGAAACATAGGAACTTCGCGACAATCCAGGGCAACAGAGATTGTTGCACATGGGAGATGTTACAGACATGATTGACGTGGGTGGGTTCAGCTAGCAATGTAACATGTGGCTATGTATCTGCGCTGCGGCATGCTACCGCACCGGATGCTGCGTGGGTTCGACACTCATCATAATCTCTGAAAGGTAGAGGACATCCTGCCGTTTATGATCTCTTCCGTGTTTGCTTTGCAAAGGGTAATCTTCGGGGCTGTCATGTCAAGGCCATCTGGCTGCCTCAAGCTTGAGATATGGCCGGAGACACATCAGGCAAGATACAGCAGCACATGTCCTACACACCAGATGTGGATCCAACTCTGCACCCAATCTCGAATGTCAACGTCAGCTACGTATTTCCCTGAAGAAGACGGACATGAAGCGGTTGAAAGAGAAAAATGATTCTCCAAGTGCCTCTTGGCAAATTCCATGCGGATGTTCAAGGGAGTAATTACTCTACTTGAAATCGGCTCAAAGAAGCTTCAAAATGTCCATGGAGCAGACTTTCCTAGCAGCTCTTTCCTGATTTCTTGGAAACCCACAGCTGAACGGCAAACTCTGGAGGGAGGAATTCTCGAGGTGAAAAGCATCTGAGATAGAGGAAATCAAAGCATGGGACATCAAATGGTTCTTCTTCCGCGTCCAAATCTTTCTGCTCGAGTGCGTCGCATTCACTGGAATTGGCATCTGAACAGGTCGTGCTTTATCTACCAGTACCAACAGTGAACTTCTGCCACCCAACTTTCGAGTTATCCTGCACTTAAACCTTGGATAACCTTGGGTCAACCACGGTAGTCTCTGGTGAACGTTGAACAGGGAACTTAAAGGCATGGCTACAGTCAATGATTCCTTTCCATGCTAATAGCCTTAGCATGCAGCCAGCGCTTGCCTTTTCTGGCCGCCGAACGGGGCCATCCAGCAAAGTTCCTGCATGGGTGAAACATCCACGCGGCTGCGCGGCTGCACACCTGCAATCCTGGAGAAATCGAGGCAAAATGGGCAAGTGTTCATCAACGTTTCCGCTGTCCAGCAGAGGGCCCAAGGTTACGCACAAAAACGGGAATGGTGTTTTTTGCGACAGTAATCAGGGTATTTACAGACAGTTATGTAGATCGGTGTTTTTTCGACCAGTCACCGTTTTTTTTTGCTGCGGTGACTAGGTTCGGTTTTTTTTTCACCAGTATATAGTCTGGTGTTTTTTGCGACGGTTCCTCCTGGTCGCTGTCTTTTGCAATGGTTCCCCCACACCGCTGTTTTTTGTGCCGGTGATTATTGTTCTTTTTGTCGACAGTGGCGGAACGCGGTATATCAGGAAGCATCTTTTCAATCAGTAGAAGCAGTAGTAGTTGTTGTTGTTGTTGCTGTTGTTGTTCGGAAATTTGTGTTGTTCTTGTTGTTGTTGTTGTTGTTGTTGTTGTTGTGGTTGTGGTTGTCGCCGTTGTTGTTGTGGTTGTTGCCGTTGTTGTTGTGGTCTTATTTGTCTTTTTTGCTGTTGTTGTTGTTGCTGCTAGCGGTGGGGGTTTGTATGGTTTGTATGGTGGCATGATCTGCCATAAAAAGGCGGGAGGGGGTGCAGGGGGAGGGCGCAGCGCCTC